TCTTCATCCTCAAATCAGACCAGATTGTATATACTGTGTTTTCCTGGAAATAGGACCTAGCCAGAGAATAAGCCATAGCATGATTCCTCCAGGATATGGAGGGCACGCACCCCTCACATGAGGGTTCTATGACCTGTTTCAGGGAGAAGGGTGCCTTTTCCACAAACTCCTTCAGCTTAAAGTATTCAGTATGCCAAGGTGCCATATTTTGGCACCTAAAATCATGCTCTGGTTTATTTTCCGGCTAGCTCTTATTTTGGGGGAAACAGGGTAAAAACAGAAAATGAGATGTTGCTGCATACAAACAAAATTATGTATTTCCCCAATAATGACACTACAAAATGGCAAAATAAAAAATATTTAATACACCAAAAAAGCACAACAGAATCAACAGGTATTAAAAGAATTACATAGTGCAAACACCAAAAAGACACAGAGCTGTTAACCTGGTGCTTATAAAAACCTCCAACAGGTGGCAGATGGCTTAGCTTAAAAAAAAAAAAAAGACTAGGCAAGAACACACGATATGAAATCTTGGATTTCAGATGAGCTACCAAGAAATATTGACTAGTGCTTTCTGCAGATTCACTTCCCAAACATTTTTAGTCATTCCAAAGGCTCTTGATAGAAGTACAGTAAACCCAAGTGTAGGTTTATCATAATATTGTCTTTAACAATGCCACATTCACCAATAACAGTGTTAGTTGGGATTGCATGTTCATTGCATCAAAAGATCTCAAAATGCTTATGGGACATTCTCCCACCGAAAAGAGATCTGGTGGTTTCTATAAAAGAAAAATATAGCATGGCAAACGAGGGAAGCTGTCAACAGAAAGGACATCTCGAAGCAAAATGGAAAAATTGTCCCCAAATTAAGTCTGGGGAGCCACTAGAACGACTACTTCAGATACTCATTTCCAGTTTAGCTTTAGGCCTCAATAGTTCTCCTAATTTGGTAAACTGCAACTCCACTAATCATAAATATGGGAAATTCCAGAGAAGTAGCTTCTGCATACCCTATGGCAGTGCAAAATCCCAGACATTTGTAAACAGAGTACATTTTACTTTTGGCACAGGAGAGGACATGCAGACTCCTTTATCTTTGAAGTACAGATCCTAAACATGGCTCATTTCCCTAATCTACATCCTTTTTTTTTTTAAGATTTTTTTTATTATTGGGGAATTGGGGGATGGGAACAGCGCTGGGGAACTGGGGGAAGGGGAACAGACAAGTTGCTGTCCTTTTGTTCTTCAGTCTAGTTGTGGAGGACGTGGCTTCACTGGCCCAAGTTGGTACCATCATTGCGCTCTTCCCGGGTGAGGCAGATCAGTCGCCGGTTTCTGGACGGCCGTTCACAGCGGCTGCTGGCCGCTCACACTGGCTGCTGGCTACATACGGTAGCCCATGACAACCCACTGCCACAGGGGCTGCAGCCTACGCCTTCGCCGTCGCCGTCACCGTCGACATACAGCAGCCCAGCTCCAGGTTGAGCTGTTGTTCAGCATCTTAGCTGTAGAGGGCACAGTGTCACTGGTCCTCATATGTGGGATCTGAACCAGGGCCCTCTGGCATCCCAAGCCAGCTCTTAACCATCGCGTCACTCGGCCGGCCCTGTATATCCATTTTTTAGCAAAAGCATTATCAGTCTTGATAGTGTGTGCACATACATACACACACGAATGGAAGAACTATCAATGAATTCTTCTTTATGTCATGGGTCTGGCCAATTTAAGCAAATACATAGCTCAACAGAAAACAAAATTCACAGTATCTAAAGCCATGTAATTTTTAAAGTTCACATAGCTCTGTGGGGGTAAAAAAAAAGGCAGAATAGCTGAATAACAAGTTTCCTCCTTTCTAAAGAGAAACAAGAGGTAACATTACAATAGCATTGTAACCCAAGATATAACATCCATCACTTTTCATTAATGACTTTGCAACGCAGTCAATTTTGCACTGTCCAGAGTAATATGATCATAAATATTAAATAAAATAAGAAATTAGATGCTAATGTGGGATGATCCCATTAATCACAAGTCTATGGTGTGATGCACCACAGACAATAAACTCCACTGACACCTACTTTAATAGAGCCTTTCCTCACAACCACATTTCAATGGCCTACTAGTAAGATCATACAATTTAACATCCAAATAAAGACAAGAGAGTGACAAGGGAGAGACAGAGACAAACCAGACACAATGCTGAGAAATGGGAAAACCAGCACTATCTCCAGACAACCAGAACATATGGTTACTCTAAGTACAACTAAAAGATAAATGGTAGTGTTTGGAACTCAAAAGTTTCTTCATCTTACAGTAGTAGACTATGAAGACTTTACATGCATATCATGCTTGCTTCAGTGGCAGTGAATAAAATATGTATGTACCGTAGTCGCACCAAAAAAAGAATAAAATCTAAACCGATCAAGATGGTTTAGTTTCCTACAGGTAAAAAATTGCTCTGACAACATTGTTTGACTCTTTTTAGGATCCTTGACCCATTCTATCCCCAAGAAATGAGGCATCTTGGATTTCAGATAAGCTACCAAGAAATACTAACCACCTCTTCCTGCAAATATACTTCTCTATACTCACACTCCGATCCTTGAGGTCTGGGCCAGGGATTTCCATTGGAACAAGTGTTCCTGGAAGCTGACGCAAGTGGGCCACAAACCTCACTTTCAAAAGACTTGTCCTTGACGGAAGGTTTTTTCAGGTACTGGAAGTTGACAGATCCTTTTATTCAGTATCATATTTAATTTCTAGAGGTTAAGTTTTATTAAAGTTACTGAGTTTTAAAACTAGAATGCATGTATGTACTCCTTTTATTTTGCACATGAGGCTAAAAGATGAAATGACTGATGAAAGTTGCGACTAGTGATAGCTAGTAATAGAATCCAAATCTAAAACCATACTTGCTTCTCATTATTTGTTAGCTATTTAAATGCTGGTGCCTTCTATATGTATTATGCAAAGATTGATGTGCTCAGATAAAGCCTATTCAGATCTAACATTTCTCTTGAATCACTTTCCTTTTCATAACTGCCATACTCCCTATTTTCAAAAGAAAGGTTGCCTCTCAAGCATCTAGAATCTTACTTTGGGATACTGCTTCACAATGTAAAAAACCCAGAGGCAAACAAAAGGACAAAAAAACCCCACAACAGACAACTCTCAAACGACAGTGAGGAGAGAGTAAAGCAGGGGCTTTGGTTAAAAAGTCTGTGCCTTATCTTACTTAGAACTGTAACTGAGAAGGTTGTACCAGAGATACATGTTAATACATTTATTTGAATTAAAAGTCAGTCAAAAGTATTTAAAAAATAAAATAAAGTCCAACATTTTTTGACTGAAAGTCTGATTTGACTGATTAATTTTATGAGAACAGGCTTTGCCAGTTTATATGACAGGACATTTTCTATAAATTTAATCAGCTAAATCTGCAGCTCCAAGGCTTCGATAAAAATATCTTTAAAATACATGTACAATATTTTGGATAGTATATCCTCTGTAGGTACTTAAATTTATTTTTAAAATTCAGATGTCAAATTAAACATGTGCAAAAAGTAAAACTAATCTAGGGTGAGAACCAAGAAATGGAGGAGGGCTACCTGGGCAGGGCACGAGGTGACAGAAGGGTTCTTCTGTAAGCTTGTTCTGGGTGTTACTTGTTCTGGGTGTAGACATCTGTTATTCAGATGTCTACAATTCATCAGAAGGGAATGCTTTATTTGCTAACTATACCTCAATTTTTAAAATGTGCAAAAGGTTATACATACTCTCAAAATTCTTTTAGGGGTCTGTTAGCAGTAATGATTGATACCACTATTCTAGGTATACATGGAAGAAGATCTCTGTTTTTCAAGACTTCTTTTGGCTTCTCTGAACTATGCAGCCTGGTTACAACATAAAGTGATTTATAACACTACATAACTACTCAAATTATTTGTTTTTCAATTGTTAGGCTTTAATATTTTTCTAAGCCACCTTGGTTTTGATGCCTAAGAACATTCCCTAAGAGGAAGTACAGCATAAGGAATATACTCAATAGTTTAATAACTACTGGGGCTGCCAAAAAAATGTATACAAGTGGACACTCTGGTCAACGTTGCTCAAGCAGTAGTTCGCCGTAATCAGAAGTGTCTGGACTCTGATGGGAACTTTGAGGAGCTCTTGTAATTGCAGAAGTCAACCATGACTTGTATTCATCTTTTGTTATCAGTATATATTGAATATTACAATTTTAATAGTTTTCCTTTTTTTTAAGACTTTTTTTTTATTGGGGAATTGGGGGGATGGGAACAGCGCTGGGTAATCGGGGAAGGGGGACAGACAAGTTGCTGTTGTTTTGTTCTTTAGTCTAGTTGTGGAGGACGTTGCTTCACTGGCCCAAGTTGGCACCATCATTGCGCTCTTCCCAGACGAGGCAGACCAGTTGCCGGCCTCTGGACGGCTGCTCACTGCTACTGGCCACTCACGCTGGCTGCTGGCTACACACAGTAGCCCATGGCAGCCCACTGCCACAGGGGCTGCAGCCTACGCCGTCGCCGGTGACCCACGGCAGCCCAGCTCCAGGTTGAGCTGTTGTTCAGCATCTTAGCTGTAGAGGGCAGTGTCACTGGCCCTCATATGTGGGATCCGAACCGGGGCCCTCTGGCGTCCCAAGCCGCTCTCAACCATCGCGCCACTCGGCCAGCCCAGTTTTCCTTTCTTATAATGTGTATACTCTTTTAGGTACCCTCTGTATATACGGTGTCAGGTAGTCAATATTTTAATAACTATATACGGAGTCAGGATCAATAACTAGACTTAACAGGGCAATCACTTCATAAATTATGTAAATGTCTAACCATTATGCTATACATCTGAAACTAATATTGAATGTCAACTGTAATTGAATTAAAAATAAAAAAGACTAGACTAGTTAGGGGGATCATTTCTTAAATTATATAAATATATAACCACTATGCTGTACACTTGATGTAATGTACAACATAGGGAATATAGTCAATAGTATTGTGAAAGCATGGTACAGTGTCAGATGGTTGCTGGACTTACTGTGGTGATGATGTCTTTAGGTATATAACGATGAATAGCTAAGGTGTACACCTGAATATAATATAATATTATAATATAATTATAATATAATTATATTATATAATATATTTTTAATAAAAATCTTTTAAAAATAAAAAATAAATAAAAATAAAAAAGGACTTTCCCTAACAGAAAATTAGAGGGTAAAATTAACTGAAGAAATTATTAATCTTCAAGTAATTTGGTTAAGTGAATGACCATATTTTTTGTTTATACTGGTGGTTGCCTCCTCCCAGATCCTCATCTTTGAAGGGAGAATGAAGTGATTAATGTATGTTAATGGAGTCCCCAAATTAATAATCTAGCTCTAAAGAACTTTCTCAATTTCCATGCAAGTTTAGAGGCAAAATGTCCTGGAACACAGATGTTTGTATGAATAAATGATCAGATACAATGGGTCACGCTGAGTAGAGATGCTCAAAACTTAAGTTTTGATACCGGTTAATATTTCTGTAATTCACTGGTTCAGCTATGCTATAAAAACCCTAATAACCAACTGAATCTCTTTCTTGCAAATAGGGCACGAAGCCCCAGCCTTCTTTAATCTTCTGGCACAGTGAAAACAAGTGACAAGATGGCTTGTCCTCCCATGAATAATGTTCCCATCCCGTGGTCTTTTCTCACATAGACTGCATGGCTTCAAGAGATTCCGGCAATCCTCCATGTTTTCTATAACTGTTCTCTGTTTTAAAAGATCAGCTGATTGTTCTCCCAGGCTTGATAAGGTCTCTTGGCTTTCAGAACTGTGAGCCAAATCCAAGAATTCCACCGAACTGCAGGGATCAAAGAGTTTTGGGTTTTCTTCCTTTCTATACACATCTTTAGGTCTAACAACTGGAGCTGATATGGTTCTTCGGCAATCAGGGATATCAATTCCTTCACTTTCCTTCTCTTCGGGTATGGCAGTGATGTCAGACGTGGAGAGAGAATGGGTTAACTTAGAACAATCTGAATACCAATCCTTCCTCAAGGCCCAGCATCGAAAACAGTACCTCTTGCTTGGAGAGTTAAATTTCTTGCACTCAGTACACTGCCACTCATCCTACAAAGACAAGTGCAGCCAATTAATTTTCAGTGGGGAACATAATGTTGAGAAAAAGGGAGGGTAGGCCAAATTCTCATTATCTCACTAAGCCAGTGAAAGTCCAGACATTCCACACCAGTGGTCTAGCCTAGAATTGAAACAAATTCTACAGCTATGTCTAACAAACGCTTCAGAAGTTTTACAATGGCAGTGACACAACTGCCATTTTAAGCCAAAATGTGATATAGCTATCTTAAAGAAAGTTAATTATTTTGGCTTTCTATCCAGTAGGAGTAGAATTTACATTGTTTGCTTTTCCCTATTGCCTTCTTTTTAGGTCATTTCTTTGTACAACTTACTCTTATATTGAACAAGAGACTAAAGAATGCAGAGATAATACTGTCATTCTTTCCTACTAATTAAGAAATGTTATAAAATTTGGCAAAAAAAGAAGCTATAATTATGAGATTTGAAAACTACTAATTTACTCATGCTCTTGCACTGCTCTCAGGACCATCAGTATGCCTAAATCACACCCTCTGATAAATGAATGCTCTTGTCCTCCAATGCCAAGTAATTTTTTCCTACTTCTCTATATTCAAATTAGGAGATACTAGAGCTCAATAAATTTTACATGCCTTGCTTAATTCAAAGGTAACTACCTGGAACAAGTCAAAAGTATTTAATGTGGATAATTGCCTGGCTTTGACAGAATCAATGATTTGACACAGGCTGACTTGATTACTTTCAGAATGAAGGCCAAGCACTTCGAGTTTAGAAGTCATAACTCAACTGCCTAGTCCAAGAGGCAGGAACACAACCATTTGTTAAACTTGGATGTTCTCCAGAGGGCCTCAGATCCAGATGAGATCCTCAGATCTCATCTGAAATGCTACACAAATATTCAAAGGAATTTCATAAAGATTTGGAATTCAAAACTGATGGTATGTCATCATCTAATTGGCATCACTTTTTCTTTCTAGTAGTACATAAAATAATAGGGCTTATTAAATTCAATGGTATCTTTGATGAAATACAACTATTTGCTTAACAGGTTTTCTGGGCCCAAGTAGCCACCGAAGTCTAATGAAGATGGAAACATTCATCTTTGCTATTTGCATTATGGTCAAGAACATTTAATGGACCAATGTATTGTCCATTTATTACTTAGCTATGGACAGACAGATAATTTGCAATGAATTACATAATGGTCAACAGTGGGAAGTAGAGGAGCACACCACCAGACAACTCAAGCAGCAGAACGTAAAATCCCCTCCTTCGCCTTCCCCACCTTTTCCCCACAGTGAGTTAGCTAAGGGAAGTAAGGACGAAAAGGAAAATAGGGAACTGGCATGAAAACAGAAAACCAAGGAACATATCTGCGTCTAAACCTGAGTTGTCAGTTGGTGACGTATCCATACCTGTTACCTAACAGCTTAACACTAAGAGCCCGCCATTAATATAAACCTGTGTGGAAATTAAGCCAGTTTACATTTGTTTCTTTTTAAGAAAGCACTGAAAATATTATTTTTACACTTGACAAAGAATTTTAGATAGCTTATAGGTCTCATTTTATTACAAAGAGGTGTTTAGGGGGAAAGCAGTACAGGACTGTTCTGAATAACTGTGTGCCCACTGTATTGTGTCCAAAGAGTTTTGATAACAGGGAGAAAAATACACAGAGGCATTTAAGTCATCCCTTTTCAAGGCAGGAATAGGACTAGGTCAACTCATCTCCTTCTCTTCTCAAATTCCAGTAAAAACCTCTAACAAAATGTAAAGAAACCAACATCTATTGATACTCAGGAAAGGTAGATAAAAAATGGGGGAAATGGCACTCTTCAGGACAAGTGAGCTGCTAAAACATGAACATCTGAAGAAATGGGTGGTGCAAAACAGCTCTTTGACTAGAGAGTCATACCTCAGAGGCAACCTCTACATCGGTATCATCACACATAGACTCAGAGTCCTCAAGGTCATCATTTTTTCCTGCTTCAATCACCTGTGACAGCAAAGACATCTCATTTAGTAAGGTTTACCTATCTCACACGAGGTTATTACCTGAGAGTAGAAAGGACAAAAGAACTTCAATTTAAACCTCACATTCTACGCCCATCACTACCACTTAAAAAGGAGATAACTTAAATATGAGACCCAAACATGATTCTATACACATGTAACACCAGAGGGTTACCAATTATCTTCTGCATTCAGAAGAGAGAGGGTCCTCAAATTTATTACTATAAAGAAAATAAACAATATCGAAGTAGAAAAGCTACAAATTATTAAATGTGGAAATTTATCTTGGGAATCCATGTAGGCATTATAAAAGCACTGTATAAAATAAGGAATTTAGATGTGAAGCATGAAAACAAAGTATTTTAAAATTTTACTTCATATTCAAAAGTACAACTAGTCATGTGACACTCTAGGTGTCCTACAACATGCCCACAGACCAGGAAACAGAAATGTGGGAACTGTCTTCTAAATTTTAAAATTTAGAACTTGAAATTCTAAAAATTAAAACCCTAGTTTTCTGACACAGTAAATGGAATAAAACCATTATGCTATAATTATGACCCTGTGTTTAGCAACTTTCTCACAAAAGTTCAAGTATTTTAAGTCCCATCTCTCTATAGAAGTTTCCAAATGTCACCTTTGTCTTCATTCCAGCCACCTGCTTTCTCTTCTCATGTTTCCCATAAAACTAGTCTAGCAGAACCCAAGCATGTATCTGCCTACCACAAACATACCAGGATATCCTTAGGGAATCCAAATTATTGTGAAGATCCCTTAAATTGAAAGGATGGCCCAATTTAAGTCTCTCTCTCTCTTTTTTTTTTCTATTTTTTCAGTGACTATTTTCTGAGAATCTTGTCCATATCAGGCACTGGATCTGATGCCCAATTTCTCTTGAAACTTGAGCACATGTTTGCACAACTTTTCATCTTGATATGGTCACACCATGTGTACTGAGTTCTAACACTCTTTTCCCCCCTATTTAAACTCTATATGTCAGAAGGCCTCATCTATTTCTGTTTAAGTATAAAATGGTTATGAAAGCTATTGAGATGTCCAAGAAATAAGGATTTTTTCCCTACAGGCTGTTGCAGCTATTTAGAACTTTGCCTTGTTACCAAAGCAAAGTCTCCAGAAGAAAAAACTGCAGTGACAGTGAGAGACTAGGCAAGCAGGAAAAGGGGAGTTTATTGCTTTTAACAAAAGAGGAGCTTTACCCATGAAGTTCTACCCTATTTTTGAGGCAGCCTTGGTTAACTTAGTGTGAATCTTAAAATCTGATATAGAGAAACATGAAAAAGGGAAGATGGGATTATGTGAGTCATTGTTGTACAAAGAGGTATAATATAGGTCAGGTCACCAGAGCACAGATAAACACAATCAATGTGAAATATTTCCACAACATACCGTTTTGTCTCTCACTTTCCCTACTTCTTCACTTGTTTGTTCAGTATCAGTAGCTTCAACTTTTATTCCAACACCAAACTGCTCTGATACTGGCTCATTCAAAATCCACACGTCATCTGTCATATCTGAAACAATGGCCGTACCCACATCCTAACAGAAAAAAACATGGGTTTTTGTAGTCAGAGGCTTATCAGAGATGTTGAACCAACATAAACGAACCCAAAACTCAAAGTCCTCACATATCTCCAAAAAACACCTAGCCTTTTTCCAATGGACATGAATGTATTCGTCAACAGAGATCTACTTGGCACCTACTATGCAAAAGGTAATGGATGGATATAAGGGTGCCTGGTGAGAAATTTTCTATTTTAACAGTAAACTGGGTATAACACCTGAGGAACAGTACTGAAGAGCTGAAAAACTACAGACTCATAGATGCCCAGTTAAGTAGAATCCATTCCCTATATTCCTTCAACATGTGGCACTCTGAGAATCTAGAAAACATTCTACTGTGACATATTCTTTCCTTTAATGGTCAATGATGTTTATTGAAGAAATGAGAGAATAACTGACAGTAACTCAAACCTCCTATCCTCTTTTCAATTCTTTCTTTCTACAGTCAACTATGGACATTTTATGACATGCTTTTCTAAAATATTCCTTAAGAAACAACTTATTATTTTGCCATTATAGCTCTATTCATTTACTGAACAAATACTCACTGAATACCTATTACGTGTCAGATACTGTTGTAGGTACTAGGCAATTAGAATAGAGTGGTTAATAATACAAAAGCCCTGGACTTAACATTTCAGTGGGGCTAAATAGTCAATAAATACATAAACAAAATATAATAATCATTTTACGAAGTGAAAAGTTCAATGGAGAATATAAAATAAGATAAAGGAGCAGAATGATGAAGGCTTGAATTACGACAGTGGAAGTAATAAAAAGTGGTTGGTAGATTTGGGATGTTTTGGATATCAGGTACTCAGCTGATAATCTGAATGTGGCATATGACAGAGAAAGAAATCAATCCTATCCCTTGATATTTGGCTGGAATAACTGGGTAGAAGGTAGACTTATGAAAAAGAAAAGATTGGATAAGAGTGCTTGGTTAAAAAAAAAAAGTTCTGTTTTGAACCTGTTAAATGTCAGATCATCTTAGTAGAGGTGTTGAGTAGGCAGCTGGATACGGAAGCTGGGCGTTTAGGGGTGAGGTCAGAGCTGATGTTATAGATTTGGGCATCATATGCATACAAATGGCACTTAAAAGTCATAGCAGTGTAAGAAAATTCTTAGAGAGTGCAATGTGTGGTTAAGAGTAACCAAGAGCATTACTCTTTTCAAAAGAAAATAACAGAAGTTTCTCTTCAAACATGAAATTTACCCGATTTGTCTGTATATCAGTTGAGCCATTACTTCTAGGTGTATAATTGTTTCTCAAGTTTCCTAAAAACCACCAAGGCAGGCCGGCTACATCCCACTCCTCAAGCCCGAGGTCCAGCCTAGATGTCTCATCTTGGGTTAAATTTTCTATCAAGTCTTCATCTACAGAAGTCAAATGAAAAGGATGATAACTATGTACACAACCCTGAAGAATTAAGACTCTCTTAATAATACTTACAATCTCTTTATAATACAGGAAAAAAGAAATTCCTACTCCCAGTAAGAAAGAATCAGAAATCAAATACCTGTCTCAGTTGCAGAGCCCAAATCTCCTCCCCTGTTTAGGCTTCATTAGCAAGTAATGTCACTAGAAGTAGATAATCATTTATCAAGAAATCTAAGCTCTGCAAGCATCCAAACATTGGATTTGTTCTAAAAGGATTTTCAAATGGTCACTTACTGTCATTTTAAACATTCCTACCACTGTAATGGCTAAACAATGACTTGTTCTAGTACATGGTATCTGATAATGGCTTGATCCATTGAACTGCAAACAGTGATAGCACAGTGGCCCAAACCTTGGAATAGATGCAAGGAGGTACAGACCATGGCACACACAATCACAAGGTTGTCAAGGCAGTCTCATGGCACCATATATTTTGGGACATTTCTCAATAATTCATGTTTGATAGGTAATAACCACTATAAAATGCTGAACTCTAGGTTGTCCAAATATATACATATGTCCCTTCTGGATCAATGGGCTCTTTTGGAGTTAAGATATCTATACCTAATCTAAAAATGCTGCAAATCCAAAACACATTAAGGATACACATATTCCAAGTAAAAGATCTTGTGTCATATACCTAAATAACATTCAAGGTGGTTCCCAACCTAAATTTGTTGCTAAAGTATGAATTTCTTTTCTTTCTTTCATATCATGCAATTTTTTGTTGCACTTTACTCTTTTCCTACTTTTCTCGTTCTCCTCTACGTTTTTTCCTAACACACTAGACATACGATGGCAACCATGAATGTTTAAATGTGCTGAGGTACATATGCTTGAAAAAGTTTCTGCAATAAATGGGTTCATGCTAGAACAAAAGATTATCCCATCTACTTACAAATTACATTGATCCTGCCTACCTGTGCTCAGGGAAACTTCAACCTCCTTTTTACTTACTCATTGCTGAAAGCAGAAACCAAACTCCTGAGATGGATACTAAAGTTATCTTTAATATCATCCATGCAACTTTCATAACTTCTCATGAAAGGTAAGAAAACAGGCCATTCTTTCCACATATAAAAATTCTGTCCTCTACCTATACACCTTTCTGAAAATACTAAGCTATTTATTCTCAAATTTTACATTACGAACTCCATAGTCTCTTGAATTGACTGTTCTTAGATTTAAAACAGCCTTCAAAGTAGAAAATAGGGACCTGTATTTAAAGAAACAAAATATTGGGTTGTCGGAAAAGTCATGATGTATTTTTCCTGTTTTTCGTTGCAAAAATGCGTCATGACTTTTCCAACAACCCAATACATTTGATGCCATATAGACTGAAATAAGCTCGTGAAATTCAGTTTACACTCAAATGCAATTTGAAGAAAATAATCCAGCATGATAAAATGATTAAATTTTAACTAAATATTTAAAACAATTTCAACAGCATAACTTTTGGGGAAGTTACTAGAGGTCTCACCTGCCATTGCTCCAAGTGTGAACCAAGTACCTAGACTAGAAACCATCAGACCTCAAAATACATCTTGGCAGGAAAAATTTAGGAGATATTTTATGAAGTAGGGCTTGGAGGAAACTTCCAAAATTCAATTAACTCATTTAACCTGACCATACCATATCTAGTACGGATGGCAAAGATCTGATAACTATCACTCAAGGGCAAAAGAACTACTAGGTTTATATCTCATTCTTGGCTCTGAGATACTAAGTATATTTTATCATCTTTGCAAACTTCCAAAAGCTATGAAAATTTGCATGAAGCAAACAAATCAAAATAAAAATTCTAACCAGATCAAGTATGTACAGGAGTGCCACGGTTTAAAAAAACAAACAAACAAAAAAACCCAAGGCAGCTACGTTACCGGGTGGCAAACTGATAAATGTGTAGCTGTCTTCTATTAGCATGCTAGCTACAGGAAAGGTCTTGCTCCATCCCAGTAATCATGGGTTGCTAAAAGAACACTGCCATCTTCTTCAAAGTTAACAATGGCGACTGGGGTGAAAACACGTTTTCAGAAAAGAATGAAAACTATATATGATATATGCTTCTCCTACTTCGCATGCAAAGAGACAGCATTATTATTTTTCGAGTTCTCTATAAACGGTATTAATTAGGTAGTGCTTAATTTGGCTAGATGCCATTTCTAGAAGTCATCAACAAAAAAGAAGAAGTCTATACAGCCTTAATTCAAAACTTACCTTCTCTAGAATTTGTGCGTTTATGCTGTGAGGTAGATGGTATGGGAATATTGCCTTCTTCGGTACTTTTCCTGGAATTACAGCATTCTTCTGCACTTTCCTGAAAAGAAGGGAAAGGTATCTATTAGTGCAACAGAAATGATTGAGACCAGGGGATGTAGCAGTTCCATTCTGGCTCACCAGTTCGTGTGCAACACAATGGGTTACGCACAGGAAAGAACAACTCTGGAATTCACAACAGTCATCAAATAAAGGCAACATCTCTCCTCAACCCACTGTGAGCAGAGCTAGGAGAATCCCAAACCTGGGGGGAAAAAAAACCTCTGCACAAAAGACCAAAATCTACTGTTAAAAATGGGCTATTAATATAAAGCCTTTAGCCTACTACAAAATTAGGCATAATTCAGAAAACATGTGAAATCCTCACCATATACCAAGATGATCATAAGGTTTTCCCAGGTTTGGGGAAGCTTTAAGAAATGGCCTGACATGAACTTAATTGCAACAAGCCTATTAAAATCTAATAAAGCAGTTTCCTCAAACACCTATGAAAGTATACCGTCACACAGGTGCACACACAAGCCCCAAAGAAAATGCAACTGGAAGAACTGAAGATCAGAAGTGCTACATCCCAAAGAAAGATTCAGAGACTGGAACTCTGTATGGGCAGAACAGAGAAGGTTCACTCTGTCCCTGGTCTGTGAACTCCCAAGAACCTTTCTTATTAAATTCTTACCACATGCAGCAAAAGGTCTTGGGAGTCCAAGATCCATAGGTACAGAGAAGGGGCCACTCTGTACAAAAAAAAAAGTCACCATGTGGTGATTTTACCTTCAGTTGGTCTTGACTTGGAATATCCATATTGTGATCCTGTGCGATAGCGAGAGTCTGAGCAGCATCTGGATAGCAAGTAAAACAAAAGGGAAACCTTCCCCGGTAATAACCATTCTTTCCACACAAAAAGGACCTCAGCAAACAACCCAGGAGCCAGGTTTGGTCCCTACAGGTGTACTACTCCATGCTGGCTGGAGAAGGCTCTCATCCAAAGGAACGAAAAAAATCAAAACTGATAAAAACCACAAAGACCAAGACAAGCTATATTCAAAATAGATTATCAAAATATAATCTGCAGGAAAATGAAAAATGGCTACAAAATGTTCTTCTATAGCAAACTTTCAAATTTTAACATGAATAGTGATTCTAAGCGGGGAATAATAGGGAGTATTTTTATCATCTCTTCCTATAGATGATTTATTACCAAATTTGCCTAACTCATAAACAAAAATGGTTTGGCTTCTTAATTTAATTTTTTATTTTCAAGTGTTAAAAGTTATAAAGGATTATGAAATCTGAAAATCTGGAATTTTCCTCACTTGCTTCATAATAAAATAGCATCTTTATGTAAACCTACATTCTAAATGTCAATGATGATTTCACAGTTTAAAATTCCCATCACCTGAATATAGATTTTGTTTTAATCAACAAGTCTTATTTTTCCCAGTTACTATAAACATTTCCTAAGAAGAAAGAGGAAGCAGATAGTTTTGCTTAAGGCCAATAAAAAGAAGCAAAGAAAACAACAACCTTAGAGAACTTCTTAGATTAAGAGAAATGTGTTACAAGGACTTGGAAATTTTTCAAGAACAGAAGGTAAAAACTTAGCTACAGGAAAAGAACAAGCTGCAGAGAATTTAATAACCTGGACCACTGATTATATGAGGCTATATGTAACTGAGATGCACATAAATAAGTCTATCAGGGATTGGGTTCATCAGGTCCAGACCTTATGGAAAATATCATCCTCAACTAATAAATACTGCCAGAAAAAGAACATAGATCCTACAACATGTATGACAATTCAGTTGTCTTGCACAAAGCAAACATTTTCAAAATTGCAATTATAAAGAACATTGTTTTTAGAAGTATTTTTATAGATAAATGGAGATACTGTGTTTAAGAAACAGCCTTTTTTAGTGGCCTTCAAAGACCAATTAACATACAATGCAGATGAAACATTTCTTGCACTTTTGAATGAGTGAGCTCTTAACCAACTGAGCCACTCAGCCGGCCCTGAAACATTTCTTTAATAAAGTAATCCAATTACTCTCATTTATATGCTAAAGCCTACTACCTTACTTAGATTAAAACAATTATAAATAAAAAGAAGTTATCTAGGAAAACTATAATGTACAAAGGAATTTTAAAATAAATACAAAATTTGTCATATATTTTTCATTTTATTAGCATGCATGTGGGAATCTGGAGAAATGGTTTATAAAGAACCACCCTCACTTTAAATAATGGCATTTTGTTCAACCATCAAAATAAAAGGTTCAACTCATTTGCAAAGGTGTAAAATAGGTGATATGGAAAACCCTTTTCTCATTTGTCCCTTCAAATAAAACACAGGCAGCCCATTTTATGAAGATCAACAGAGATGGCCATCAAGTACCAATCCAAGTGCAGGTCAGAGCAGATAATCAAGTTACTTTGGGGCAATTTACTGGTTTTGATTATTGTACTACGGTTATGTGAGAGGTTACCATTTGGGGAACCTAGGTAAAGAGTTTAAGGAACTCTTTATAATACTTTTGCAATTTTTTGTTGGTGAAATTTTTTCAAAGTGACAAGTTGAAGAATAAAATGTTTTAAAGGTTTACTGTTCAGAGAAAAAACTGTGTTTAAAAAATTAATTGGGGCAAATTCTGTCACAAACAAGGGTTAAGGAGATGGCACAATGAAAAATGCAAGGGTTGGCCAATTAGAAATATCTCCTCTACCACTTAATCAGTGGCATCTGATCTTGGACAAATCACTCACTCTATTAAAAAATCCTTAGTTTCTTCATCTCCAGACTTTCTTCACAGGGTTGTTGTGAGGATCAATTGAAATGTTTGTTATAGAAATGTTCATTTTAATATATGGCATGTTAAATTCTGCAGAGGAAGTGCGAGAAAGAAAATGAGAGAGAAAAAGTGAGAATTATACCCACTCTAGATATTCAGAGAACAGATCACTCAGAAAACAAATTTTACTGAAAGAGTAGAGTAGCAAATATAAAATCCTCTGTGTATGTCAAGCCAGTAGTGACAATCCCAGAAAAGCTGTACTATTTCACAAGTGACTGAATTTCAATAAAGCATCATATCATTTACAAGGCCATCCTTCTCAAACAGAAATTTACAGCTGGGTAAAGTGGGTGAAGTAGGCAAAGAAAGGCTCAGTGAAACCAACAGGCTTCGGAAATCAATGTTAAGTTCAAAATCACATTTTAATCACTTTAAATTGTAAATCAATCTTTATTAGGAATGGATTTTTTTCAAGCTATTTTGTTTAGCAAAACATTGAATGATAGACAATCTAAAGGGATTACAAACTTGGGCTTTCTTCAAAGGACAATGTTATCAAAAATCTAATATGAAGCTCAAAAAAGGGAATGAAGAAAAAAAGTTCATTATTTAGAAATAAGGGACAAAGTTCTTTTTCACTGTATCCAGTTAAATTCACTTATCTCTAACACACCACACTTCAGACCCAAAGCAGCCAATTTCCTGCACATACCTAATAAATTAAACTCAGTGGGCAGTATTTAAAATGTATGGAATCAAGCAAAGGGTTAGACAAATTGGCCTTCCAATAACAGAAAGCTAAAACCATTAAGTGAAAGGCTCTTGGGGGACTTTTATAACAGATGGATCAAGGTGATACACCACGTGAGCCCACAGAATCTTAACATCACTGAAAGAGGAGCAGGCAGACCTTACAGACTCCAATGTAATGTAACAGATGTACAAAGTACCACCTATGAAACCTTCCCAGCAAAAAATTTAAACTTGACTCTATTCCAAGCACTACTGGTTTACCAAAAATAGAATAGAAAAACATGTTAAACAACCTCACAAGGATACAATCTGCAAACCCTAGAACGTAGGAAATACTATAGGACAAATGATCCATTTCTTCACCAAATAAACGACATAAAAACAAAAGGAGCATTAAGTTTTATAGATTAAAGGAGACGTATCAACCAAATGCAATGTGTAGACTTTTGCATCCTGACTTGAACAAGCAAAATGCAAAAGATATTTCTGAGATAAGTGTGGGGGAAGGTGGGGGGGGGTAACTACACACAAACTGGCTATTGGATAGTATTATGGAGTTATTATTTTATTAATTTTGTTGGTTGTAATAACGGCATTGTAGTTATGTTCAAAGGAAAAAAGTCTTTACCTGTTAGATTTTAAAAGTATGTCTAGATGAAGCCAATATGGCCAAGTGTTAGCAACTGCTAAGTCTAAGAGGCGCACATTAATTACACCAATCCCTCTACCTTTAGTATATTGAAAATGTTTCACAATGAAAAGTTAAATAACGTAGTAATCATATTCTGTGTGACAGTATCCCTCCCACTCATGCCAAAACACCATTCCATCTCCATCCTGATCCTCTTGTTTTCCCATCATTTGCCCCCTTGAACTCAAAGCTATGGTATAGACTGAAAAAATATGATGTGACATACCTGTAGTAGCAATGGTTAAAGCAACAAGATTCCTTCTTAGCATAGCATAGAGAGGGCTGTCACAGAGAGAAAATAAAAAATTAATAACTTCATTGTTTTCCAGTAAAATGTTAAGTGTATTTCTAATATGCTATCTCCCAACTTTCTCTATAACATTTGGAGAGGCAGAATTTTTTCCCCAGAATAGATCTTTTTTTATTATTAAAATATCAAAACGTTAATGTCCAAGCCCTTGTGTTACTTTGTCCCCATTAGAAAACTAATTTACAGTTTATTTAATTAACTAACAGTAACCCAAGTGGGGACATTTTCTTTGCAGAGTATTCCTTCCTTCTACAAAGTTAAGTTCTACATTTTAATTAGGGAGTGGGGGTGAAAGGGAGTCTTACCAAAGTAAGACAAAATAAGCCCAGAAGTCATCACAAAGCTATAGAGAAAAAGAGAACACTGGCTTCTCAATTACTAATTAGCTTTTGATTGTGTAAATTAATAACAAAATACCCTGTGCAGCTGGAGAAAGTCACACAACAGGTCAGAGTAGCTGTACTATGATTTTTATGAAGCTCTTCAACCTCAGACTACCCAGCAATTGCACATTTCTCATCACCTCATTCCTAATTCTAATCTAGCCACATCAAGCTCCTCACTATCCTGGCCTTAAACATGATGTTCAATCTGCCAGAAGCCTCCTTAAACCAGCCCCCTCTAATTGCCTCATTACCATTCAGCTCTCAGTTCAAGTATCACTCCTCAAGGAACCTTTCCCTGCCCTAAGGCCCTAAACCCCACCCCTCTCAACACAACCCCATGTACTTCTTTTCTATGACTCTTATCATTGTATAATTTCACCATGTGTTGGTGTGATAATTTGATTAGGATGGGGAAGAGCACCTAGCTGTCTCACTCCTCTTTAATTAAGCTTTATAAAATCAGACTGTATTTGTTGTTCACTACTATGTTCTCAGGCCACCTGATATACGTAGGCCCTTAAATATTGGGTTGTTGGAAAAGTCATGATGTATTTTTTTCTGTTTTACATTGCAAAAATGCGTCATGACTTTTCCGACAACCCAATATTTGTTGACTAAAGGAATAAATAAATAATCATTAATAACTTATGGAGATTAGGTGGTTATATATAAGCGCCCCAAAAGATAAACAAACCCTCCCTCTTTTTACCTTGGATCTTTCACGGAGAAGCTCTGACATCCTAGTAGTTCTCCCAAAAGATCTCCACCACAATATACCATATGCTGCTCCCGCGGATCATAAAGCTGCTTCATTGCTATATACTGGCCTAGATAGTGCATGACCTGCGTGGGAATAAAATACTATGAGAGGTCTGTCCAGCTGCTGCCAAAAACACACACATTTATTATGAGGAGATAAGGTAAGTTAGGTTTGCTAGAGAAAAGGATAAGATAACATTTATGAACGTGACTGTCAGTGTTTGTGTAACGGTCCTACAACAGGATCGCTGCTCCCAATTACTAGGTTCATCCACTTATAATCGTTCTGGATATTAACAGACCCTTACATTTTGTAATAGAAATGTACTGGTCTGACAGTGAGAAAAAGTGGTGAATTGACCTAGTATCCCCTTAAAAATTTCCTTACCAGTCCAAATAAGGGGGTCTGTTCTATTACTAGAAGTAATAAACTTTAAATCTGCCTACATCATAAACATACTTTCCAAGTCCAGGGGCACATAACTACTACAGGCTTTTTATGTGTGTTCACTAAATTCTTGACAAATGCACTACGATGGTTAATAAGCCATCAGCACTATAAGTGCATAAAACAGAATCTAAGTGTTTATCAAAAGTTTAGTCTATCTGGCTTTGTTCAGAGTTCACAAAATGGAAGCAGGGACACAGACAAGTTCATGATTCAAAAGTTAAAAGTTATCTAATTTTTTTTCTAATGGTTTCTCCAGGTAACAGATTTTTTTTTAATTGCCTAATAATTAAGTTCACTTAATGACAGTAAGAATTTTGTTATCACAAATCACAAGCAGACCAAAAGCAGCTATCTTTAACTCTGGGCACCAACATCTCCCTAATGAGTAGATATTTGCAGAGAAGATTTTTCCAGCACTGTTCCCATTAGAGCAATGACGATCCTAGGCAGCCCTACGTCCCAGCAACATGTCCAGCATTAATGAAGTCCTCATATCTAATCAAGTATCTATGGGAAAGTAAGATGGGAAGAGAGAGCATCTACTGGAAGAAAGAGGAAAAAGTTTTATATTTATGTCTGTCCAGCTTTCAGAAAAAATAAATCCATTCTAAGTATACAAAATAAAATCTTCTAAAACACTGCTCTAAATCTGTATATACTACTACTATTCTCATTACACCACACTGCCTCAACGCACATACTGAGAACAAGTATTTAAAAATAAAGATGTAAGGAATTCCTCTTTATGCACCAGGTAGGGTCAAGAATCATAATGGAGAGCTTATCATTTAAGCTGACTGTCCAACTTTTTCACCAGTAAAACATTTTTCCCTGAATGATATGTACTTAATTTCTTCTTAACCTCAAGCAAACTCTGCCACACTATTGAAGGAAACAGTGTTGTGGGCCAGCCGAGTAGCCCCACCCTCCACCCCCACTGAAGAACTTTCAACTTTTCTTGCCTACAGAAATGTTCAGTCTTCTCCCTAGTTTCTTAGTTCCTTAGCTCCTGGCTTTGATTACTCTTCTAATCAGTTTCTGAATCCTAGGACTAAAGATTGCTCCTAGCCTGAATCATAGAAATCTATCCCCCTACTTCTTGATTGTCTGTAAATCAGTTTCTAAATCCTAAACAATAGATTGTTCACAGAAACCTCCTACCCCTGCTTCAGATAACAACTTAAAAGCCTGTGACTTCCCAGTATCACTCAAGCCATCCCGGACCTAACTCTTGGACCATTCCATCCTAGAGACACAGGTTGTAACGTTTCCCCAGGCCAGTAAGCCAAATGATTCCTCCAAACCCATTCTGGGCCCAGACAATTGCAGCCACCTGAGTGACCCGTCACCTGAATGGCTACAGGCTCCATAAGAGCTAACAGATGTATTAATTAAAATCCATTTTCCCATTCAGGGGCCTTGGGGATACAGATGACACCCCAACAAGATTGCCAGTCACAACCAAAGAAACCAACGTGGTCTTCAGGCGGATCTAGAGAACGCTTCCTCTCATCTGAGATCAAAAGTGAAGTTCTGTAAATCCCCCATAGGCAGAGACAGCTCTATACCCCTCCCCAGCAGGAAGCAGAAACAGAAGAAGAAACCCCTTGTCCCTCAACTTCCCATAGAGATTTTATGGGGATCATGTCTCTCAAAGGGAAAAACAAGGTAGGCAGCTAGAGACAGACATTGGGTCTCTGCATTCCTAAGCAACCCACAGAATGCACCGCCCAAAAGACCTCCCCTCTCCATTATAGCCTCTTGTCAATCACAGGTGTCAATCAAGTGGTCCCTTGCCCAGAGGGGAACAGCCCATTCTAGAAAAAAAGGGATAAAAATTCCAAGTCCAGGGCTGTCAGGCCCTTTTTTTTTTGAGCAGCTTCCTCCCTTTTAAGCCTGCCTTTGTGTGCATGGCCCACTCCAAACTCTTTGGGGTGTAATTTCTCTTCTAATAATGGGTCTTTGAGCCATCCTCTACTGCTCGGGCCCACTTCTATTTCTTTAAAGTGTACTATCTCTTCTAATAAACTGCTTTTTCACTACTTTGCCTCAGTATCTCATTCAATTCTTTGCTTGAGACGCCAAGAACCTGGACGTCGTGCCAAGAAGGGCCCACTCTCAGACAACAATAGCGTAATTCAGTATAACAACTTTAATTATATAAAAATCCACACTTTAGATGCCTGACCACTGCACTGTACACCTGAAGTGGAAGCTGAATAATATTGTATGTCAACTATAATTTAATATATATATATAGTCACGAGATATGGAGTATAGCATAAGGAATAGAGTCAATGGAATTGTAATAGATATATACGATGTCAGAGGACAATAGATTGGGGGAGAGGGGTTATCACTTTGTGAGGAGTGAAATGTCTATTACATTGTTTTGTACACCTGAAACTAATAAAAAATATATTTCAAAAAATCCACACTTTAGTAAGTTTTTTTAAAGGTCTTATCAGAATTTTAGTGGTATAGTTCAAAGTGATGCACTTAATTTAAAATGATAAAGGAAATACGAGTATTCCAGACAATCTGAAATGCCTCCAGGTTGCCATGCTGCTCAGAAGGGCAGCATTGCTGATAGATACAGACAAGTATGAAACTTCTAAGCAAGCCAAAAAGGCTTGGTAATTTTGTTTCTTCTGTTTACAAAAGGTTTTAGATCTTTACTAAATGCAAACAGTAGGAAGACATTAACATTTTAATACGGAGTCTTTTCCACTTAAAGAATTCAATTTGTTTTTGTTTAAAAAAAAACTCTAGAAGCTAAATAAGTTATTTAAATGCATAAGTGTTTAAAATAACTCACAGTGTTCAAGAGTATCTGACAAATTTATAATGCAAAATTACCGCATTTATTTCTTGCCTGGCAGCATATCCCGTAAATCATAGACAGTGTCATTTTTTAATCTAATACATGTTTTGCATTTTAACTCTGAGATCAATGAATTCATTGTTAATCTTATGTTTAGCTGACAACACACTTCAAAAGGAAATTTAAAGAAACTATAAAGTTCAACTTAGTGTGATGGTCTTTAGAACAGCAAAAACTGCCTCTCCAGTACCTCAGGAGTAGAACTTCCTTTCTTAGGTCTAATTTCAGAACTACATATTCATCAGCTTCTCTTTCTCAACTGTTCTTAAAACTGAGAATTTTCTTTGATAGCTTACCTCTGTAACAGTGAAGATTTCACCTTGTGCACCTGCTGCCTGCAAAATCTTCAAAAGTGGCACTTTTGGTCGTACCTGATATAAACATAAAATAAACCTGCTATTTACATTTCAATTAGATTGGTTTCTGAAACCCTAGAAAACAAGTAAACCTCTTCAATACTTTTTTAACACAGGTACTTACTAATAAAGTACAATCTTCCAATGCATAAAATAACTACAGATGCTCAGATTACTATTTGTTACTTTCCTGGGAAATCACATTTTCAAAAGACAGCATTCATACCTACTACAATGGCTAATAATAAGAGGAAAAAGTGTTGGCGAGAATGTGGAGTAACTGGAAAACCTTGTGCATCGCTGGTGGGAATGTAAAATGGTGCAGCTACAGTGAAAAAAGTTTGGTAGTTCCTCAAAAAGTTAAACATAGAATTTCCATATGACCCAGCAGTCGCACTCCTAGGTATATACCCAAAAGAACTGAAAGCAGAGACTCAAGTATTTGTACACCAATGTTCGCAGCAGCATTATTCATAATAACCAAGATGGGAACAACCCAAATATCACTGATAGATGAATGAATAAACAAGATGCAGTAAATCCATACAAGGCTGCCGTTGGACTTCCACATGGACGATGGCTATGCCCACCTGTAACTAATTGAGCTAAGCAGCATGACTGGACTTGGTGCTGAGCTTGTTGCGCTCTCCACAACTAAGACTGAAGAACAACTTGGCTGTTCCCCTTCCGCAATTCCCCAACACTGTTCCCCTCGGCCAGTTCCCCAAAATCTTAAAAAAAAATTTTTAAAAAGAGATGGGTCAAATAGTCTATGGAATAGAGATAAAAATATTATAAAGTTTGAATCTCTTAAGAATACATTTGCTATATTTACCATTTAAAATTGATTTTTCAATAAAACAAATTAATTGGAATTAAGTGGGTGAGACAAAAAACAAACTTATATAACTTTGCCCCAAATTCCCCATTAGCCACCCATACCCTAAAGCACACTAATTTTCAAAATGTTACCATTCAGCAATCAGTAACCTCCATACATTTATTTAATGACCAAATTTATGAATGTTGATACTGTTTACAGTATAAATATGACATTTTAAAATGTCATGGAATATGACATTTAAAAAAATAATTCTTGGTGGGCCAGCCAAGTGGTGCGTTAGTTAAGAGCTGGCTTGGGACGCCAGAGGGCCCCGGTTTGGATCCCACATATGAGGGCCAGTGACACTGCCCTCTACAGCTAAGATGCTGAACAACAGCTCAACCTGGAGCTGGGCTGCCGTGAGTCGCCGGCAACTGCATGGGCTGCAGCCTCTGCTGCAGTGGGTTGCCATGGGCTACTGTGTGTAGCCAGCAGCCAGCGTGAATGGCCGTCCAGAAGCTGGCGAGTGATCTGCCTTGCCCGGGAAGAGCGCAATGATGGTGCCAAGTTGGGCCAGTGAAGCAACGTCCTCCACAACTAGACTGAAGAACAAAAGGACAGCAACTTGTCTGTTCCCCTTCTCCCAATTCCCCAGCGCTGTTTCCATCCCCCAATTCCCAATAAATATCTTTAAAAAAAAATAAATAAATAAAAATAATCCTTGGGCGGCCAGGTGATTAGACCGCGTGCTCTGAACAACAAGGTTGCAAGTTCAATTCCCACATGGGCCAGTGAGCTTTGCCCTCCGCAACTAGATTGAAGACAATGACTTGAGTTAAGCTTCCAGTGGGCAGCCGGATGGCTCAGTAGGTTAGAGCATGTGGTCTTAATAACAAGGGTACCAGTTCGATCCCCTCATGGAATGGTGGGCTGCACCCCCACAACTAGATTGAAAACGGCGACTGGACTTGGAGCTGAGCTGCATGCTCCACAACTACTGTGTTTCCCCAAAAATAAAACCGGGTCTTATATTAATTTTTGCTCCAACAATCTACATTTATTCATTTATTCATGTACAAAAATCTACATTTACTCAAATAGTCATGTCTGGCTGACGACCTTAACTGGGGCTTATATTAAGAGCATCCTGAAAAACCATGCTAGGAATTATTTTCCAGTTAGGTCTTATTTTCGGGGAAATGTGGTAGATTGAAGGACGACAATTTGACTTGGAGCTGATGGATCCTGGAAAAAACACACCACTATTTAGTAAAAAAAAAAAAAAAAAAAAATATTTTTTAAAATTCTTTGTGCTCTGCATAAAATCCTATGGTCAGAAAGTCAGCTATTTCCCCTAATTCAATTTTTTAAAAACTTAAAGAAAATAGGAATGCCTGAAAATGATTTACCTGCTTGAGTTGTCTTGGAGAGATCCTGCAAGCACTGTCAGATGTTGAACACTGGGCAGAGGTAGAAAATGATGCCATTTTGGCAGTGAAGAATTTAGTCTGTTGATGAATCTAAAAGGAAAAAAATTATAAAATCTCTTCTAAAGTAGAAAATTCTCTTTAGGATTTACAGAAAGCAACCAGTAGAAGTAAAACAGACACTTATGTCAGAATAGCTTACACAAATGCAATATACCCATGCTAAGGTTCTTGATACCCTTCTGATCACTTTCTAATTCAGGTCCTGCAAAAAACTAAAGAGCTTAATTTAATCAAGCCTATGAACCATCTATGCAATCTTCTGGCTTAACTTCTGGAATATGAAAGTTTTTAAAGTTTCAAAGGTGAGACTGAGGGGGGCTCAAGTTTTGCCACCCCAAAATGTGCCTTTTGGAGTATTGATTTTAAGCTGGTTATTAAGCAAGACTCAGAGCCGGCCCAGTGGCTCAGCAGGTTAAGAGCACAAGCTCTGAGCAACAGGGCCGCCGGTTCAATTCCCACATGGGCCAGTGATCTGTGCCCAAGCTGAGCTGCCGCTGAGCTGCCAACAGGTGGCAGGATGGCTCAGCTGATGAGAGCAAGTGCTTCTAACAACAAGGTTGCGGATTCGACTTCTGCATGGGATGGTGGGCTATGTCCACCTGCAACTAAGATCGAACACGGCACCTTGAGCTGAGCAGCCGCGAGCTGCTGACGGGGTAGCCAGATAGCGACTGGTCTTAGAGCTGAGCTAGCTGAGCCCTGCACAATTAAGACTGAAGGACAACAACTTGGCTGTTCCCCTTCCCCAATTTAAAAAAATAAATAAATAAAATCTAAAAACAAGAAGCAAGACTCGAAAAGAACCTTTGACCTCCCTCCCCCCTTTTTACCTGCCTAAAACAATTCAGATAGAAAAACCTGCTTAAAGGAAGGGAATATCAGCATCATAATATAAACTAAATGTAGCCAGAGCGAGAAATCTACAAAACCTGTTTCCCTCAGTCCCGTGGTTTCTGGGTGGCCCAGCAAGAACTTACTACACATTTGCTCTTTCTCTACAGATGAGAGGGAGGAATAGGTGGAAGTGGGGGCAGTTCTATGATAGGGGTATAGTCTGTAAGGAAGAAATATTTCCTACTTTTGACTGGCTATAGGCAACAGTCCATGCATACGGAGGATTCAGTGTTGTCTAGTCGTCAGCTAACTAACAGACACCTCGAGGTTGATTCAAAGCTCCAAAATACATTCAGGAATGTGAGCAGTCTTTGTTAACTGGACCTCAGCAATTAACTAGTCAATTATTCCTGCCTTTTTCTCAGGCAGCTATAATTTAATTTAAAATAACACTTTAGAATTTCTCTGTTGTCAACAGCAACTACATACCTACAAAATGGGTTAAACCAAGGTGGACATGTATCATCAAGATAAAGCATGAACTAAAATAGAGTAAGGTTTAATTAAACATTCTCACCTTCTACTTTTCGTCCTTTAAAAATAAAAATTATAGGGCCGGCCGAATGGCTCAGTTGGTTAAGAGCTTGCTCAAGAGTGCGAGCTCTGAGCAACAAAGTCGCTGGTTCGATTCCCACATGGGCCACTGAGTTGCACCCGAGCTGAGCTGCCAACAGGTGGCAGGATGGCTCAGTTCGATTCCCACATGGGCCACTGAGCTGCACCCGAGCTGAGCTGCCGAAAGGTGGCAGGATGGCTCAGTTGGTGAGGGCACATGCTCCTAACAAGACTACCTGTTCAATGGTGGGCTACGCCCGTCCACAACTAAAAAAAAGACTGAACTATGGGGCCGGCCATGTAGCTCAGTTGGTTAAGAGTTGGCTTAAGAGCACAAGCTCTGAGCAACAGGACCGCTGGTTCGATTCCCACATGGGCCAGTGACGCTGCACCTGAACTGAGCTGTCGCTGAGCTGCCACCTAGGATGGCTCAGCTGGTTTAACAAGATTGCCTGTTTGATGGTGAGCTATGCCCACTCGCAACTAAGACTGAGCTCAGCACCTTGAGCTGAGCTGCCACCCGGATGGCTCAGTGGATAGGGTGTGCACTCTTAACAAGGCTGACGGTTCAACTCCCGCATGGGATGGTGGCTATGCCCACCGGCAACTAATTGAACACAGCACTTTGAGCTGAGTGGCGCGACTGGACTTGGAGTTGAGCTTGCTGCGCCCTCCACAACGAAGGTTGAAGGACAACAACTTGGCTGTTCCCCTTCCCCAATTCACCAACACTGTTCCCCTCCCCCAATTCCTCAATAAAAAATCTTTAAAAATAATAATAAAAATAAAAGCTATAGGAAAGGAAAATTATTCTTATTATTTTTTTAAGATTTTATTGGGGAATTCGGGAAGGGGAACAGACAAGTTGATGTCCTTTTGTTCTTCAGTCTAGTTGTGCAGGACATCGTTTCACTGGCGCATGTTGGTATTATCATTGCGCTCTTCCCGGGTGAGGTGGTTGCTCGCCAGCCATTGGACGGCCGCTCACGACAGCTCAGGAAAGCGCATGCCCGCTGCGGGCCAGCTCCACTGCAGCCTAAGCCATCACCAGCGACTCACGGCAGCCCAGCTCCAGGTCGAGCTATTGTTCACCATCTTAGCTGTAGAGGGCACAGCATCACTGGCCCTCAGGTGGGATCCAAACCAGGGCCCTGCTGCTCAGAGCAGACGTCCCAAGCCAACTCCTAACCAATGCACCACTTGGCCGGCCCGGAAAATAAATTTTTAAATAAACTTGCTCTAGTTTCCTTCAGGCCTTTTCTAGTAAAAAAGTGACAAAACAATCAGTGAAATTCATGAACAAGCCACATTATGATAAAGGAAAAGGGTGAAGGGAGCCTAGAAAAACCAACAAATAATCTGGTTAAAACTAAGAAGATTCTTCACTCTTCTGAGAAGACTTTATTAAAAAGTATAAATTCCTCCCTCCTATTAGATTCCCTTGCTACAAAATGGGAAGTCTAATAGGATACAAGCATAAGTTATAATTATAAAGCAGCTAGCTTTTAATTGGCATTTCAAACCTTATAAACTGGGGGCTAAAAAAAATACCTTTCCTCCCACATTCTAAGTTCTTCTAGCTGGGTTAACAATTGAATTCATAGGAAAAAAATCAAACATTTAATACATGCAGATGGGGAATTCACATAGCATAAAAATTCAAGACAGTAAGGCAAAACTGGGTATACTGGTGGTGCCAAAAAATGTATACAAGTGGACACTTTGGTTAATGTTGCTCTAGCAGTATTTCGCAGTAGTCAGAAGCATCTGGATGCTGATGGGAACCACTTTGAGCAACTCTTGTAATTGCAGAAGTCAAACATGACTGGTATTCATCTTTTGTTATTGGTATATATTGAGTATTACAATTTTAATCATTTTTTCCTTTCTTAACCCTCCTCCTTCGGGCACAACTGATCTCACAGATTCACTGCACACGAATTTTCAAATATCTAACAGTTAGCTTAAGTATCGTGGCTCATCGCTTCCGTATCTTTCCCCTCTACCGTAACCTATCATCAGTCGTGTTTGTGACTTAGTAAAGACATATTTCATAGCAGCATCTTTGGGTGCAATGAATCTGTGAGATCAGTTGCGCCCAACGGAGGGTTAAAATGTGTATACATTTTTTTGGCACCCTCTGTATAAGACATTTAGGACAAAGAAGGAAAGGGGGGGAATGGGATCTTGGATTTCAAAAGTGGGAATGGGCCATTTACAGGTAATTGAGGAACAGAGAATCATACAGGGCAGGTAAATTTTTGCTAAGCAACCCAGAAACTATGGTTGGGGTTGGGGGAAGATCTAGTAAACAGGCCCCTGCTTGACACCCTCCCATCTACCACATTCAATTCAGATTAGGCTAAGGTATGTTAAAATTTCTTACCTGGAGCAGGTTTTTCCATGTGCTCTTGGGGGTGAAATTGGGGGGGGGGGGTGGATGACACAGGATGGGACCAAAGGTTCTTTCTGAGTCTTGTTTCTCAGTAACCAGTTTAAAATCAATATACTAAAAGGTAGCTTTTGGTTGGCAAAACTTTGGTCCCCTTCAAAACCAATCCTGATGTCCCCAAACCTGCTACTCCTAGACTTCCCATTTCAATAAATGGAAATTCCATCCTTCAAGTTACTCAGGTCAATGACCTTGAAGCCACCCTTAATTCCTTTTTTTTTTCAGACTCCACATTCAACATTCAGTCCATAAATAAATTCTGAAGCTGTAGGTTCAAAATATTTCCAGAATCTAAGCACTTCTCCCTGCTTGCTTCATCATTACACTATTCCAGCCAGCCATCTAACTGCATTAGCCTCCTAAAAGTTATCTTGCTTCTACCCTTGCCCCTCTAGCTCCCAACTTCCTTTTGTCTTTGCTCAACTGTCAGCTTATCAATGAGGAATTCCATGACCACCCATTTTTAAAACTGTAACGCCCAACCCCCCCATACTTCCTATCTCCTTCCCTGTTTTATTTTTCTTCACTGTCCTTGTTACCAACACACTATACATTTTAATTACTTATCATATAAAACATAAGCTACAAGTGGGGAGGGATTTGTATTTATCTGTTCATTAATATATCCCCAATGCCTAAACTGGCAATTATATACATGGTAACAGCATCTTGCTGGAAACAAATATTAATAGTGTGGATGATCTCCAAAAATGGTGTCCAAAGAACATCTCCCAACTGGCTCTAAGACATAAGTTAATCAATAAGATGCAGCTGTTCAACAAAAATTTTAACTTCCTAGGGGTAAAGTCTTTTTTAAAAGAAAGGATTTATTAGGTCATTGTAAGCAAGAAAGACCAGGTCCTAGGGCATGAAGTATGAACTACCAGCAACATGGCTAGGTGGAAAGACAACATGGCCACCATCCTGAAGTTCTTGAATGTTTTTATACATCAAGTACGAGGGAGAGAGATGTAAGTCATTCTGAAAGAATTTACATTAGCTATAGGCAAAGGGGGTGGAATAAGCTGAAGTGAGGCCAGCTCTGGGACAGGCACAGAGTCAGCAAGGAAGAAGTGTCTGCTCCAGTGGATTAGCTACGGGCAGCAGATTGGAACGCTCATGAGTAAATAAGAAGCAGAGGCTCCTTGGGTTCTATGTCGCCTGACTACTCTCTCTCTTTTGGATAATCGGGGAAATAGCCACTTAGAAATTAATCCTAAATTCCAACAGATACACAGGAATGTGAGCAGTCTTTTTTCAGAGTTGTTCCACAACTATTAAGAGGCTAACTGTTCTCTTTCTCTCACGCTCCAGTCACTGTAATTTAATTTAGAACATGTCAATTTTTTTTTTCTTGTCACAGCAGAATAATAATGTTCCAATTCCAGGTCGGGCAGCTCCATTTTAGTGCTTTTGGAAGCCCCTAAAAACTGGCTTCTCTACTAGACACCACACTGAAAGGACATGTGGAGAGGCTCAGTTGTCAAGCTGAGCCCCAGCCTTCCAGCCATACCCTCCAAAGCAACACATGTTGGGGCATTTCCGCCCCAGGTGACACCTGTCTACAACTAAATGACAGATGACAAGTGAAACCACGAGAAGAACATGCAACTTAGCCCACAGAATCATAATAAATAAAATGGCTGTTGTTTTAACTCACTAAATAAATCACTGGGTGGTTTATTACTACATAGCATTAGATAAGCAAAACACATGGCAAAGACTTACAGAGGGCTTACTCTATACCAGGCACACATATTAATCCATTTAATATTTAAATAATCCTATGACACAGGCAATATTATCTTTATTTTACAGATAAGGAAAGAGAAGCATGGGGATGTTATCTGCCCAAGACCACATAATAAATTGCTGGATAAAGATTTCAAACTCAGTAGAGCTCATAAGTCCCTACTTAGCAATTATTTTTTTCCTATTAGACCTCAAGGGCACAAAATTAGACTAATCACAATCCTTTTCTTCAAGACATACTCTTGTTCATCCATACCTGGTCCACTTTTACTTGAATCTTTTTAACAATGTAATAAGCATCCACAGACTAAGGACTCTGACAATCTAGGTCTGATAACTAAGTCTGCAAACTTGTTGCAACAATGCTGCTAAACTTTTTTGATATCATAGGGATTATTCATTATGAATTTGTACCAACTGGACAGTCAACCAAGTTTATTATTTGAAAAGTGCTGAAAAGGCTGCGTGAAAAGTTAGAAGAAAATTACCTGAACTTTTCACCAACAATTCATGGCTCTTGCATCACGACAATGCACCAGCTCAATGCAACAGACAACGGCACTGTCTGTGAGCAAGGTTTTGCCAGTAAACAAATAACTGTATTGGAAAACCCTCCCTACTCATCTGATCTGGCCCCCAATGACTTCTTTCTTTACCCAAAGATAAAGGAAATACTGAAAGGAAGACATTTTGATGACATTCTGGACATCAAGGGTAATATGACGACAGCTCTGATGGCCATTCCAGAAAAAGAGTTCCAAAACTGCTTTGAAGGGTGAACTAGGCGCTGGCGTCAGTGCATAGTTTCCCAAGGGAAGTACTTCAAAGGTGACCGTAGTGATATTCAGCAATGAGGTATGTAGCACTTTTTCTAGGATGAGTTCGTGAACTTAACTGTCCGACCTCGTATATCTAACCATATCCCCTACCCCATTCCCCTGCCTCTCCGCAACTATCATCTGCAATCCTATGTTTTGATTTTCTTCCCTTCCTTTTACACATTTTACCGCATCAAAATGGAATCCTAAGAAGTATGTATATATATTTTAGTTGCTTTTAACTTAAATTTAAAAAGGCAGGTATGTTATATGTAATTTTAGGGATTTGTTTCCCTAAAATAAATTTTCACTTCAGTTGTTTTCTAAAAAAAATTTATTGAGGTAAACTATATATAACATAAAATTTACCATATTTTAGGTGTACAATTCAGTTAACATTAAGTACATTCACAATGTTGTATACCAGCACCATTATCTATCTCCAGAACTTTTTCATCACCCCAAAATGAAACTCTGTATCCATTAAATAACTCCCCAATATCCCTTTTCCCCAGACCCTGGTAACCACTATCCTATTTCTGTCTCTATGAATATGTCTATTCTAGGTGGTACCTCATATAAGTGAAATCATACAATATTTGTCCTTTTGTGCCTGGCTTATTTTACTTAGCATGTTTTCAAGGTTCATTCATGTCATAACATACTTTATTTTTCATTTATTTTGACTGCTGTATAATATTCCAGTGTGTGCCGGACATGCGTTGTTACTAGGTTTTCACTACAGTCATGCGACACATAAGGACATTTTGGTCAACAATGGGCCACATATACAATGGTGGTCCCATGAGATTATAATGGAGCTGAAATTTTTTTTTTGCCTAGTGACATCATGGCCTTAGTAAAGTCACAGCACAACCCCATTACTCACGGCTTTCACTGTAGTCTACTTCAGGGGTCAGCAAACTTTCGAGATGCAAGAGCCACCCGGGGTCAGCACACTGCGGCTCTTTGGGTATCTACATGTGGCTCTGAAGTAAAATTGAAAATGAAAATAAAACTATCATAGTTTCATTTATAAAAATTTTAAAGGATATTATTCACATAATGGTGATTATGTAAAAATATATTTATGGTTCTCGAATAATTTTTTTTTAAAGATTTTATTGGGGAATTAAGGGAGGGGAACAGTGCTGGGGAATCAGGGAAGGGGAACAGACAAGTTGCTGTCCTTTTGTTCTTCAGTCTAGTTGTGGAGGACGTTGCTTCACTGGCCCATGTTGGTATTATCATTGCACTCTTCCTGGGTGAGGCAGATCTGTCACCAGCCACTGGACGGCCGCTCATGGAGGCTCTTGGCAGATCATGCTGGCGGCCGGCCACTCACGGTAGCTTATGGCAGCCCACTGCAGCCTCACTGCAGCCTACACCATCGCCGGTGACATGACTCACAGCAGCCCAGCTCTAGGTCGAGCTGTTGTTCGCCATCTTAGCTGTAGAGGGCGCAGCCTTACTGGCCCTCATGTGGGATCCGAACCAGGGCCCTGCTGCTGAGAGCCAGCGTCCCAAGCCAACTCAACCAACGCGCCACTTGGCCGGCCCTCGAATAATTTTTAAATTGTTGTGAGAAACAGGATTGGCTCTTCCAGGGGTTGGCAAAATTTTGAGACAGAACGTACCCAAAGACCCACATGTGACTCACGAGCCGCAGTTTGCTGACGCCTGACGGCTCGTCTGTCTCAAAAGTTTGCCGACCCCTGCACTATACCATGCTGCCAGTTTAGTACAGTTGACCCTTGAACAACATGAGTTTGAGTGCACTGGTCCACTTATACATGGATTTTCTTTTCAATAAATAACTGTAATGTATTTTTCTTATGATTTTCTTAGAAACACTTTATTTTCTCTAGCTTATTTTATTGTAAGAACACAGTAGATAATGCATATAATATACAAAATATGTGTTCATTGACTGTTTATGTTATCAGTAAGGTTTCCTGTACCTATTAGTAGTAAAGTTCATGGGAAATCAAAAGTTACCCGCGAATTTTCAACAGGGGGAGAGGGGAAGGAGTCGGGACCCCTAACCCCCACACTGTTCAAGGGTCAACTGTAGTTATTTTCAGTTGCTAAAACCAGAAAGTTAGGAGTCACCTTAATCTCTTCCTCCTCCTCCATTATCACATCATCAAACCTTAGCGATTTTAACTCTTAAATCTTCCCAAACCACCCATTCCTTCTCTTCATCTTCATGACTACGTCCCAAACAAAAAAATGTTATTTCTTTCCTATATCACTGCATCACATAGACTGGTCTCTCTAACCCCACTTCAATTCAAATACCACCAGGATTAAGGAAAAAACAAAAAAACAATCCTACAGTGGCAGGCCCTGCTCCATAGCTCACTACTGCTCTATAAAGATGAACACAGGGAAAGCCATGTGCCCTACATGCCAGTCACACAGATCTTTTGGTTTCTCAAACAGGGCCTTTGCTTCCTGCTTCAGGGCCTTTGCACACACTCTTCCTTCATTTGAGCACTCTGAGTTCTGTACAAGGCTGACTCATCCTAAACCTTCCAGTCACAGGTTAAATGTCACTCACATCCTCAACAAATCTTTAACAGATGCTAAAACCACTGAAGTGAAACAGTGGGGGAGGGGAGGACTTTAAATCACTCAGAGGAAGCTTACACACAACCCACTGACCAAACTCATCTCTGAGAGAGGGTCATTCACACATTATGTACTTCCTGATCTGAATAATAAGCACCCAGTACCTCCTATGATGTATTCCTGGGTCAAAAAATTCCAAATTTCATCAAACTTCTTGATCTAACTGCTTTGTGGGGAAAATGGAAGGTAGGAAAATAAGTACACAATATAAAAGCAGGCAATTAGCCAAATACAGAATGCAAGAAATTCTACAGGACCTCCAGTGGAGGGTATGGCTGAAGTAAGGAGACCCAACACAATGTGTAAGGAGACCCAACACAATATGTGGACCTTGTTGAAGTCCTGATTCAAACAAGCTATCTGTAGAATGTCTTTTTTCCCTAAGTAATCATAAAATTTTGAATTATGTCCTAGGTATGAGATATTATTAAGAAACTGTTGTTGTAGAAAGGCAGTGTGGTTATTTTTTATTAAATCCTGACCTCCTAAGAGATAACATCCTGATATATAAAATGACTTGTGAAATGCTTTAAAATATTTCATCAAAAGGTGGAAAAAGTAGAAAAAAACAGTATTAAAACAATAGGTTTTAAGTACACACCAAACGTGGGGGGGGGGGTGCGGGGAATCACAAAAATTGTTTTATCTATTGTTATCTTGAAAAAACTAACAGTCTTGGAAAATATTCCAGTTAAAGATTCAGTATCACTAACCTGTGCTGCTTTGTCTCTCTGGGGATGTGTTTCTTTCCAGTTAATAATAAACCCTAAGGATGAGTATAAAAAGCTGAAAAGATTATGCCCTTTAAGTGAATTAGGGAAGAAAGTCCTTTCCACAGTTTTCTTTGTTTGCTTTCAAAAGGACTCTCCCACAAGAGATGTATATATTGAAAGAGAATACAGCAGGACTAGGAATACCCCAGGACAGGCCAAAATACCCTGGTTTTTCTGGATGTTTTGTTGTTGTTGTTAAAGATTTTATTGGGGAATTGGGGAGGGGAACAGCGTTGGGGAATCAGGGAAGGGGAACAGACAAGTTGCTGTCCTTTTGTTCTTCAGTCTAGTTGTGGAGGACGCCACTTCACTGGCCCATGTTTATGATCATTGCATTCTTCCTGGGGGAGGCCGCCAGTGCCTGGCCACTGGACAGTTGCTCACAGCAGCTCATGGCAGTTCTCGCCGGCTGCTGGCCGCTCACGCTGGCTGCCAGGCACTCACGGTAGCTTACGGCAGCCCAGCTCCAGGTTAAGCTGTTGTTCACCATTTTAGCTGTAGAGGGCACAGCATCACTGGCCCATGTGGGAACCAAACTGGCGGCCCTGCTGCTCAGAGCTCACGCTCCCAAGCCAACTCTTAACCAACTGAGCCACTCGGCCGGCCCCCTTTCTGGGTGTTTTAAGAGTGAAGAATTAGGGGCCCAGTGGCTCAGTTGGTTAAGAGCGCGAGCTCTGAGCAACAGGGTCACTGGTTTGACTCCCACATGGGCCAGTGAGCTGCGCCTGAGCTGAGCTGCCATTGAGCTGCCAACAAGTGGCAGGATGGCTCAGCTGGTGAGAGCATGTGCTCCTAACAACAAAGTTGCCAGTTCAACTCCTGCATGGGATGGTTGGCTACGCCCACCCGCAACTAAAAGTGAACACCACACCTTGAGCTGAGCGGCTGCAAGCTTCTGATGGGGGGCTGGATGGCGACTGGACTTGGAGCTTGCTGCACCCTCCACAACTAAGACTGAAGGACAACAACTTGGCTGTTCCCCTTCCCCAATTCCCCAATAAAATCTTAAAAAAAAAGACAAAGAAAGACCTAGTAATCCCATTTCTAGGTATTTATCCAAAGAAACCCAAACCCTACTTCGAGGAAACATGCTCATCCAATATTTTCATTGCAGCATTATTTACAATAGCCAAGATATGATGGCAACCTGGGTGTCCCTGAAGGGATAAATGGATAAAGAGGTAGTACACATATACAACAAAATATTACTCAGCCATAAAAAAAGAATGAAATCTTGCTATCTGTGACAACATGAATGGACCTAGAGGATATTGTGCTGAGTGTAGTAAGTCAGACAGTGAAAGACAAACTTCATATGATTTCACTTATAAGTAGAACCTAAAGAATAAAATAAACAAACAAAACAGAAACAAACTCATAAATACAGAGAACATTTTGAAGGTTGCCAGATGGGAGGGGGGATGGGAGTAAGTGAAAAGGGGAAGAGAGCAAAAAATACATATTGGTTGTTACACAGCAGTCATGGGGATGTAGGGTATAGCATAAGGAATATAGTCAATAATACTATAATAACTATGTATGGTGTCAGATGGGTCCTAGATCTATCATGGTGACAGATGGGAGGAGGATTGGGGGCAGAGTGAAAAGATTAAGGGAAGGGATTAAGATATACAAATTGGTAGTTACAAAATAGTCATGGGAATGTAAAGCATAGGGAATATAATCAATAATATGGTAATAACTATGGATAGTGCCAGGTGGGTACTAGCCAGGAAGATCACTAACTAAATTATATAAATGTCTAACTGCTATGCTGTGTAACTGAAACTAATATAAAATATTGAATATCAACTCTAATTAAATAATAAAAAAGAGGGGGAGATAAAGAAGAATAAAAGGTTCAAAGTTCCAGATATAAAACAACTAATTCTTGGAGATGTAATATACAGCATTAGGAAATATAGTCAATAATATTGTAATAGTGTGGTGCTGTATCAGACTGTTTGCTGGACTTATTATGGTGATCACTTCTTTAGCATAGAAAATATAATCAATAATGTGGCAATAACTCTGCATAGGGCCAGGTGGGTACTGTTGAATAACTATGATATACACTTGAAACTAATATAATATTGTATGATAGCTACATCTTAATACAAATTTTTTTAAAAACCCAACTTTTTTCTTTTAAAAAAGAAACTACTGTTCAGAAGTTTTAGTTCTTACTGGCTCTGCTATGCATCTAAAAAGATGGAAGTGTGTGCAAGTGTATTCTCTAGCAGTTTGCAAAACAAACAACATACCAAAAAGCAACCTAAAAATCCATCAATGGGGAATTAAACTGTTGTACAACCCTATAATACAACATTATGCAAGTCTTTAAAAGAAAGAATTTTATGTAGTCTTTATGTCAAGCTGTCCCTGATGTTATCTGAAAAACTTAAGGTACAGAGCACTACATACAAAACGATCCCACTGCTGTTTACATGTGAATATGTGTAGAAAAGTCAGGAATGATATAACATCAAGCAGTTAACAGTAGTTAGCCTGAGGAGGAAACCGGTTAGGGATGATGGGTTAACTTCACTTATCTATATTGCGCATTTTTTTATCAAGCACTCACTATTTGTTTTTTTAAGACCATAAAAAGTTGTGATCCTGACCAGTACTGACGAAGGGAAAAAGCAGCAGCATTTTCTCCGGGAGTCGCTTTAAAACAGTGCTTTTCAAGCTTTAGGATGTACAGAAATCACCTGGGAGGTGTGTTGATTAATATACATATTCCTGAGCCCCATTTCTTGATACTGTTTGGGGAGGCCTGGGTGTAGCCCCAAAATGAGCATTCTTCAAACAGGCACTCACGTACCTGAAACAGGTGGCCCTCAGCCCTGAAAATTACTACCTTAAAATCTTGAGACACCTCCATGTCATTCTCCCCGCCTCCCTTTCCCTCCCACCTCTTTCCTCCAAAGTGCTCCAGTATTCCTCCAATTCTGCGTCCACTTACATATCGTCAATCATTTCTATTTCAGGTTTGTAACCTGTTGGCCGATCCGCATCACATCATTCCACTTCCATTTTTATCTTCCTCGGCCGCGGGTCCTAAACGCACAACCCTTTCCCCATCAGCCCTTCTTCCGCCCGGCGCGACAGTCCCAAGGTCGCCGCCCAAACTGCAAGCTCCTCCCGCCTACTCGCCCAGCTCCGGGGCCCGCGGAACCGGCCGCGCAGCCGCAGGCTCCCCACTTCCCGACCCCGCCTCCCGGCGCCGCGCCGAGGAAACCGAAGACCCACAACTTACTGCAGCAACACGAGTGACTCCCACACCTAATGCGGGGGAAAAAGGACGTCAGTCACAGGTCTTCAGACCTCAGCAGCAATTTGAAACCGCGAGCAATAAGGGAGCAACTTCCGGCCTCCCAAAGCTATCTCACATGAGAACTTCCGGTGAGGCCTCCGGGAACCATAGATGGCCAACTGGAGGGCTAGAGAGCTAGAGAGGATGAGCTTTCCATACCATAGAGTAGATCTCCTAGTCTGGGAGAGAGAGTCGCGGGGCCTGGATGACTAAGAGTTGTAAGGTTTCGAGAGCGAACGTTTCAAAAACTCAGGATCTGGTGGGGTCTTGTGATATTTGCAGACGTGTCCTAGGAGATCAAGAAACTGGGAGAAGAGAAACCTAAGAGCATCATCAGAGGCAGCCTTCAACTTATCAGAAAAAAGCCTCTCCCTCAGCTCTCAGTGTTAACTTACTCATTCTTACGCCACAGAGGAGGCTGAAAAAGGGAAACAGCAGCCTAATGTCGCTAACTGCGGAAGATAAGACTAGAATCACTACAAGATATGTGGTAAAGACCAATGAGATGGAGCTTATTTGGATCACAACCATGTCATCTCTAATCTCTCCCAATATAAAAGGCCAGTGTCAGATGGCATTGCCTCCCCCCAAATACCTTATTTTATTTCAGGATGATTCTAAATGCTAGAGGATTTTCTGAGCTGAAATGTGTTACTTTGCAATTTCTATTGGTTTCAGTTCTGCACCTGGAAGAGGAATAAGACTTCATCCTTCCCAGTATGAACATTATTCAATTATTTGAAGACAGCTACCAAGTCCCATCTCTAAGTCTCCTTTGTTTTTCTGCAGGCTAAAAATTACATCAGAGCCTTTAACTACAATTAACCCTTGAACTACACTAGAGGGTTAGGGACCCTGGCCCCATGCAGTCAAAAATCGCTTAAAACTTTTGATTCCCCCCAAAAGTTAACCACTGTTTAAAAAATTCAACCAAGTAGATACGAAGATCTAATTGGCTTTATTAAGTGATTCATGAATTGGGCAGCATCCCATCCAGCAACTAGAAGGGCACTCTGAGGGGCTGTACAAAAATGGAAGATTTTTATAGGAAGAAAGGTGGAGCAAGGGTGCTATTAACAAACACAAGAAAGGATTATTTGGGGGCCAGGACACCTTCCCCCCACTCCCCACCCCCGGGAGGATTTTTATCATACCGATTGCTTCTTTCTGTGAGGGGGATGGAAGGGCCCATGTGGACAGATTACTTTCCTGGTGTTTGACCAGAAAACTCCATACTGATTGATTAAGATTATATGTCTTAAAAAAAAAGAGAGAGAGAGAGAGAGATTATGTCTGGGAGAGGTTGAAACCGCACTTGGATCAGGCATTTAATCTAGGTTTGGTATTGTTACAGGAGTCTCTATGCTTACCGATGCAGTGAAGAATCGAAGGTCAGGAAGCTGATCAGTATGTAAGCAGGGTTTATTAGTGATACCTAGAAAAGGGGTCTAGGCCCACAGTATTAGTGATCGGTTCTCAGGGAAGAGAACAGGCCTAGCTCAGGTGGGGGGAGAGTGGGTGGGGGGGAAGAGAGAACAGGCTTAGCTGAGGTGGGAGAGAGGGAGAGAGAGAGAGAGAGAGAGAGAGAGAGAGAGAGAGAGAGAGNGAGGGAGGGAGGGAGAGAGAGAGAGAGAGAGAGAGAGAGAACCCTTGTCTTGAGGACTTATAGTTTGCTGGGTGGCGTGAGGGAGTTACATATTGATTTGGTGGGAAAAGTGATGCAAGCTTTTCCACGAGAGGGTGTGACCTCCTAAGATGGGTGGAGGTCTGTTAACTTAGGTCCTCATCTTCCTCCAGACAACCTTTTGTCATCTGTTATTGTAAAAACAGATATGTGGCTGGAGGCAGTTAATCCAAGCTAGTTATGAATTGTAACAGCTATATATGATGTCAGAGGGGCAGTAGATTGGGGGAGGGGGTTATCACTTTGTGAGGGGTGTAAATATCTAACTATTACATTGTTTTGTATACCTAAAACTAAAAAAAAAAAGAAAGAAAAAAGCCAATTATGAACTTTTTCTGTAGGCACTATGGACCCCCTCCTCCTTCTCCTATATTTTCTAACAGTATCATGGGCTTTCAGCACAAATTACGCCATTTGGGGCCTGTGGCTTTTTTCTTTACCACTGCTAATAGCCTACCGTTGTCTGGAAGCCTTACTGGTAAGAGTTGATTAGCACATATTTTGTATGTTATATGCACTATGTACTGTATTTTTACAATAAAATAAGATAGAGAAGAGAAAATGTTATCAAGAACATCATAAAGAAGAGAAAATGCATCTATATTTATTGGAAAAAATCTACATATAAGTGGACCTGTGCAGTTCAAACCTGTGTTGTTCAAAGGTCAACTGTATTTCGTGGCTTCAAGCCCCGTTGCCACCCTAGTTGCCATCTTCTGTACAAGTACTTGTTCATCCCATTTAAAATGTGGCTCCCAGAACTAGATACAGACACATGCAAAATAAAATGGAGCAATGGCCTCCCTGAATTTGCACACTGCACCTTACTCTATTTCTGGCACAGTCTCCCCTATAGCTGGGAGATTCAGCAACCACCTCTCTCAAAAAAATAGAGGGGAGGAGCTCTTTTGTGTGCACTACTGTCAACTATTTCTCCTCTCCTTTTGTGCAATTAATTTTAATTTTTTAAAATTCTCAAACAGGAATTTGTTTTGTATCTTTTAAATAGTATCTGGTTAGTTGAGGTCCCTTCCTACTGTTTCCTGGACTCTTGGGATTATTAACCTGTCATGCAATTCAGTTTAAGACCAACAAATACTTGTTGAACACCTACTGTGTACCAAGCACCAACCTAGAGAATTCCAAAGCAAGTAAGACCTGGAATCTGTCTAGAGGAGTCACACTGTCTAGGTCAAGAGGATGTGGTAAGTGCAATGATTGATTAGCTGCAATTAGCCTTGCCTGGAGTTTTGAGCAACATATTTAATTTGTCTCCATTTAAAGCTTTGATAGGTATGTTGAATAGGACATGGTTAAGAACAGAGATTTTTCCCCTCTGGGTTGACACTGATACATCTTCCAATGTGGTTCTTAAACTACCAGAGATCCTTCCAGTGGCTCACATCTGGCAGCATTTCTCTACCTTTTCCCAAGGAGTTCATAAAACTTCATTAAATAATTTGCTATAATAAAAATAAACCATAACTATAGTATTTCTTCTTCTAGTCAAGTAATAGTACCAAAAAAGAAAATGAAATTGGCTTAACAAGTTCAGAACTGACTCAGTGGTAACCACCTTCTATTCTAAGAATGATACTCACTAGTCATTTACTTAATAAAGACAGGAAACCTGGGTTTCGTCTAGTTATTTCTAGAAACTGGAGTTGCAGTTCTTCAGTTTCCCAATCTGTAAAATACAATGGCTGAATTAGACGATTTTTCTAAGGCCCCTTGTAATGCTAAAGGAATTAAAAGTCAATATTATTGATCTATAGCCTTTCTAAAAAATTATAATGAACTACTTCAGACCTACAAAAAGGTATAAAGACTATAATCTTTTCCTCACCGCTCTTCCTATGGAAGAATACCTATACAAAAAAGTTCCCTGTTTGTCCCTTCTATGGCACCTCCCTCTTTCAACTCCAGGGAATCACTATCCTGAGTTTGGTATTTACCCCTGCCATTCATTTCTTTAGACTTTTAGGATTTATATGTATATATATTCCTTTAAAATATATTATGCTTTAAAAATTTTTATAAATAGCATCAAACTGTATGTATTCTACTGCAACTTGCGTTTTTGCTCATCACTGTGAAGTTCAACGATGTTAAATCACGTAGTTATAATTTTCATTATTGTTTAGTCATGTTGTATAGTAGTGTATTGAATTGTATAATGAGTTGCTAGGTAGTAATTGTATTAGTTTTCTAAGGCTGCCATAACAAAATACCATACATTGGATGATTCAAACAACAGACATTTATTTTCTCTCAGTTCTGGGTGTTAGAAGTACCTGATCCACTGGGAGATTTGATTTCTTCTGAAACCTCTGTCCTTGGCTTGTAGATGGCCGCCTTCTCGGTACGCCCTCACAGGTTTGCCCCTCAGTCTGTGTGCATTGTCTGTGTCTTCAGCTCCTCTTCTTATAAGGCTACCGGTCATATTGGATTAGGGCCAACCCATATGAACCTTATCTTATTTTAATCACCTCTGTAAAAGGCCTATCACCAAAGAAGGTCACATTCTGAGATACTACGGGCTAAGAATTAAAGATACGAATTTGGGGAAGGGGACCCAATTCAGTCCTTGCAGTAACGAATGCTCCATGTGCACTCTAGGGAGTAGAATTATTGGGTCACAACACATGATCAACTCTCAGATCATGACAAAGTGCTCTCCAAAGTGATTGTAGAAGTAGACATTCCTCATAGGTGTGCATAAGAATTCTATTGCTCCACATCTTGGCCATTCCTTGGTATTGTCAGATTATTTAAAAAATGATGTGATAGATGTGAAATAGTTTCTTATGGTGGTTTGATTTAAGATTATTAGTAAGGTTGAGCATTTTTCATATTTATTGACTATGGTTACTCATCTGTGAATTGCCTGTTTATGTTTTGCCCATTTTTCTATTGGTTTGTCTTTTTCTTATGATTTATAGGGGTTCCTTATATATAATCTGGATATTAATTTTTGTTGATTATATGTTTTACAAATAATACCTTCAAGTCTATAGTTTGTTTTCACGTTTTGAATGTTGTCTTTTGATGAACAGAAGTTTTTTTAATGAAGTTAAATTTATTTTCTTTGTTTTGCTTCCCCTTTTTTTGGTATATTATTTAAGAAATGTTTCTCTGTCTTTGGGTCAAGAAAGATACTCTCATATATTTTCT